AAAAAAAAAAAAAAAAAAAAAGACAATGAACATACCAACACTACATTTACATTCAGTTGTTTATCCAAATCGTTTATTTGGATTTCACATATAATAGTTCATCTTCCTTCAATTTCAGACTTTCAAATAATGTTTTTGTAAGATTAGAGAATCGGGACAAGAGGGTGCGGTTTCACGCAGATTAAGTGTACCATAAGAGGGTGAGCATATGTGCACCATAGTGATATTCTATCTCAAAACCAATTGGTGATAGAAGGAGTAGTCCACTTGGCTTATATACTAGGCTCATTTCCCCAATAGAATCAATATGGGACAACTTACAAGTGATTAGTGCTGTAAACGAACGGAACCGAACCATCTTGGGCTGTTCGAGCTCGTGTTTGTTTACGTTCGAACAGTGTTCGTGTTCGTTTGTTTATTTTTCGAGAAAAAAAATCGTGTTCGAGTTCGTTCGTTTAATTGTTCGTCAAAGTGCGAGTTGTTCGTGTTCGAATAATTTAATACATAAGCTTTTTAAATACGTTCGATTAACTCGAAATTCGTTCGTTCGAACTCGAAAGAAAAGAATAAAATAAAAATAATTTTATATATTATAATTTTTTATTAAAAATATTATGTAAATATATAGAAAATAAATAAAATTATATTAAATTTTAGATTTTTTAATAAAATATTATATAAGTATATAAACAATAAATCAAATTATATTAAATTAATGTTCGCGAACATAATCGAACGTTCACGAACGAGATCGTGTTCGTTCGATTATTAAACGAGCCTAATTTTGTGTTCAAACTCGGCTCGATTAACAAACGAACGAGCTTTTGTCGAACACGAACGAGCTCGAACGAGCTTTTGTTCGCGAACGTTCGGTTCGTTTACAGCTCTACAAGTGATACTCCAACACGCCCTTCACTTGTGAGTCCTTCGTAAGCTCCAAGCCCAGAGCAGGCCGGGTAGAGATAGAGGCCCTGGCCGAAGTTGGCCGGGTAGAGATAGAAACTCAGGCAAGAGTCGATCTGGCTCTGATACCATGTAAGATTAGAGAATCGGGACAAGAGTGTGCGGTCCCACGCAGATTAAGCGCATCATAAGAGGGTGAGCCTAGGTGCACCATAGTGAGGTTCCATCCCAAAACCAATTAGTGATTGGAGGAGTAGCCCACTTGGCTTATATACTAGACTCGTTTTCCCTATAGAATCAATCTTAGACAACTCACAAGTAATACTCCAACAATTTTTTCACTAACATCTTTATTTCAAATGTTCCTTCAACAATTTCTTCTCAGACTTTGTTTCATATAACATGACTTTTAAAATGGCTCAAGCTCCGAATCAACCCGTGCAAACTATTTACACTCATCCTTATATGTTGAGAGAAGATGACAATATGACATACGAATTAAAAACGAGAAAAGTAAACAACACAAGATTTACGTGGTTCGGCAATGTGCCTACGTCCACGTCGGCTGAGGGATCTTTATTATTCTCAATAGTCTCAAATACATCAATACACCATGTATTTATACTATTAACCCTACAAGGTATTAATTTACTTAAATACCCCATACCGTACCGCGGGGACTCTTCCCCCGTACCCCCGTCTATACCGCGGGGGCTCCGCCCCCGCACCCCCGGCCCAACTAATCGACCCAACCCAACAGGCTGCTCGCTCCACTCTGCTCACTTCGCTCGGTCGCTCCGCTTCCCTCGTTACGTTCGCTCCGTTACGCTCGCAGGCATCAGTCTGTCTCCTTCCTTTGTCAATATATGAGTCATACCAACATTATATAATACAGATGATTAATCCATTAAAATGTTATAAATACCATATTACAAAGCAACGTGTTACTTTGTGTGTATAAAGCGTGCTTTATACATTGAACCGGGTTGGCGGCTCTTTTGCCGACTTATGGTATAAAACGTGTTACTTTGTGTGTATAAAGTACTATGGGAACTTGAAAACAGCAAGGTGGGCTACCATGGTTCCTTACAATGTCGAGAAACCAGTTTTTGTAGAGACAAATTTGGGCACCCGTTTTGTTGCTGTTGCTCATCTTGATATCACAGTCAAGGACTTCAAGAGTTAGCCTCTCCGACTCTTCTCTCTTTATCTGTACCTTTTTCATTTCGCCGATTATTTCTTTTTTTTTTTTTTTCCTTTTTCCTCATGTTTCAGTTTAAATCGAATCTTGTTAACGTTGTTGAATCATGGTATACTGTTAAAGATCGAAACTTTACGGTGTCTTGGTGATTCTGAGTTACATGGGTTCTTGATTAACAATGGGCTTTTCTTTCTGATGATGAGTAAAATCTGTTCCCAGTAGCAGAAGGTTAATAATACTATGTGCTGCTAAACTGTGTTTTTTCTTTCAAGAGATAGTTATTGCTTGACTAAGCAAGCCCTCTGTAATGTTGTTTGGGCAGATAAAAGGTGGTGCGTCGGGGTTATTTTCTTTGTTAGGGATATTCAATTTAGGGCGATTTATCGAATTAGTTAGCGGTTATCCAGAGCTTTGTAGGGAGCTGATGCTATACTTGTTTGGCTTCTTTGAATCTTATGTATTGTCATCAAATTTATTGTTTGGTGATGTGGAAAAGAATAGGCTTAACGGCGTGCAATTAGAATGTAGAAATTGTTTGTCGATGGACCGATTAAATGATGGACGAGTGTCTTATGAAATTGTGCCGGGGGAAAATCGTAATCGTTGATTTAAGCTTATCTTCATGGAAAATATGATACAGTTGCAACCTTTGAGTTGTTTAAACTGCTGCAGATATGTCGTGGCTTGGGCAATATAAGATTTTTTCTTGAAGTTGGCAAATCTTTTGTTGGAATATCACTTGTGAGTTGTCCCATATTGATTCCATAGGGAAAATGAGTCTTAGTATATAAGCATAGTGGGCTACTCCTCCCATCACCAATTGGTTTTGGGATGGAACCTCACTAAGGTGCATCTAGGCTCACCCTCTTATGGTGCGCTTCATCTGGTGGGACAACACTCTCTTCCCCCAATTCTAATATCTTTCCAGTATTTATTGATATCACATACACTAGGAGTTATTGTATTTAATCAGCAAATATAAGTTTTTGCCTCTCATCTTGTATCTTTTGTAATATTAGAAAAAAAAAATTAAAATTGCATGTTTCATGGAACTGATTTATCCGGATTTTTTTCTGGCAATTTACTTGGCTGTTAACGCTAGCATTTACCTTCAGTCCCGTCAGCATTATCCGCACATTTTCAGGTCACTAAAAGCTGAAATTTTTTGTATCCAATTGAGTTTTCCTTTTTTTTGTTTTTTTTTTTGTTTTCAATATTTATCTAATATGATTAGTTTCTGCTTATTCGAAACTGAGATGTGAAACTTCTCGTTGTAGGAGAACTGGAAAAGACACATATGAATTGCTTCCCAGAATTCGGAAGAATTAGAGTTAATGCACTAATGGTAATGTTTAGATATTAACTCCTCAATTACACATTACAATCTGAATCCGCCCGATTTTGTAGTCTAGCAAATTTATCCAATTGTCGTGTAAATGGTGTACCAGGTGCAGCTAAAATCACACCTTTACCATCTAGGCGAGTCATTTCCCCTCAAATATGCTTTTCACGACTCAAAGGGCACTCTGTTTCTCCAAATGGATGTGCATCCATTTAATTTCAAGAATACTAAAGTTTGTCAAAATATGAACTCTGCAGCTAATATGGACTCTGGTTCAGTTATACCGCAGCGAAAACGCCTAACGTATGAAGGTAACAAAAAGAGAATTGAAAATAAAAGAAAGGAGGTCGATATATGGAAATATCCCTTCATTAGATCTTCATTCTTGATATTTTCCTTAATCATAAAAAAGAAAAAGAAAACCAGAAGGATTCAAAAGGACACGATTCTGGAGTCCCGTAACGAAAAGGCTTCAGAATCAGCATCTGTTTCGGGAATTATCGAGAAATATTTTTCGGATAATGATGAGGTGGCCTCCACTCCTTTCAGCAGGTACTACAGAAACTCGAACTTTCAGCCTGGCGTAATAATATCACAAATGAAGGGCCATATAAATAAGCCCGGTTATGAATCATCCAAAAAGCCCGAAGTTGGTAAACGTATTCTGCAGGCTTTGCGTTGTCTCGGGCTTAGTCCTAGTAATCAACGGCCAGCACTTTCTCTCTGCAGGGACACTGACAGAAGAAAATCACAACCACTTTGTAAATTGTCGGCTGTAGTACAGAATCTTGAATTTGAATTGAATGAGAAGTGACTGAAATTTTTTTCAGTTATGGCCCCTCTTCACTGCTTTTTGAGTTTTCATTTTTCGAATTACTATTGTCGACGAGCATTTTAGTTGCTTTGTTCTGGCGATTTATGATGATTTTTGGGAAAGTAGGATTGCAGTAGATGACAAGAAATGGCCACAAAGGTTTTCTGGGCATTCGCGTGTGTAAATTTGGAGTAGTCCCGGCTATATTGAAACTTGGCCCGGAAAATAATCTGTGCTACATTGTGTGGCCTGCTTGGCCATGGGGTGATGGGGGCAAACTTTAAAGTGAGTTATTTGTTCCATTTGATTATTTTTTTTCTTGTGAGATCAGCTCTTGAGTTCATAACCATGTATTGTTTTGAATGTACTAAGCCTTGTCTTGAATACTTCACGTTTCTTTGATTATTTTGTCGAACTAATATATATTGATCAACGATTAGAATGTTCGGTTTGTATACGATGTTTGATTCTTCTTGAAATAGCTTATTGTGTTCCTTTCTGTTTCTGCGTGTGCAAAATTTCAGTCAGGATTGCAAAGTGGCTTCGCGTGCCTGGATACAATATTGTGGTAATGGTGTTTTATAGCATTTACCAAAAGAAAAAATGAAATCTAGCCACTTTTTTTTTAAAAAATAAAATATAGCCATTTTGGTACATGAAAATACTAATTTACCCTCAATTCAAATTTTCACCTCACAGTTTTTTAATTTCCTTACATTTCACATATCAATTTATTTTCCCCAATTTATTTACATTGTCGTCTCCAGCGGAAATAGAGAAGAAGAAAAAAAAAAAAAAGTTCCAGCGAAGAGAAAAATCCCGTCTGTAGAAATCGACCCTGCTCTAGCTCTGACTGAAAGAAGATAAGATTCAACAGTTGTGGATAGATTTGGGATTATCAGGGAGATGTCAGCTGTTCGGGATCTGGGCTTCAAGTTAGAGGCGGCATCGGCGGCTTGACGTGACCCGCCTGCACGCTGAACCACCAGCTAAATACGGTGGCGGATCTGGGTCGGAGGGTTTGGGCGTCCAGAGGATTCGCAGTCAAGTAGCGGGGTTTGACTTCAAGAGCAGGTTCGTCTCCGGTGCGAGGGTATGCGGCCGGAGCGACGAGAGAGTGCATCTGGAGCAGGCGTTTGGGTTTGGGTCTGGCCGGGACGGGCCTCAAAGCTGCGGTTCGTGTTGAAGAATGGGCTGTCTAGGTGCCTGAGAAGCTGCTCGGGCTCTACGATCCATCCTTTGACAAGGATTCGTGGGGGGTTGGGTCGTGGTGGAGCTTTTCGATGAAAGCAGTCGTAAAACGGTACTTTCCTGTGAATTTTGTGCTTGTGTATGTGTATGTTCCAGTTGATGATGCTTAAAGTTTTGTCTTCAGAATTATAATTTGGTGAAGGTCAGATTCAAGAACATCAGGATTATTAGCAAGAAATAATGTACCTGAATGGTTCAAAACTGTATGTTAATGGTGTTGTTATTTTGATTGTTTTTTCACATACGAATTGCAGTATGGAATGATGTCTTATAAGCAGATAAGAGAGAAAAAGAGGTTGGGAATATGATACATGTGAGACATAGAATCTTAGACAAGGCCAAAAGGCCATCAGATCCATATTCTGTTCCAAGATGCTTATTTGTGTCCTGATTAGCAAATCACATTTCCATTCTCTAGTAGAAGCACCATCCAAAATTATATTCTTGTCGTTGTAGGAAATGTAATGTGGCACTAGGTACAAGAATTGATCCACCTTAGTCTATGTTTTTCTTAAATTTCAGTCTCTTTTAGTCATCTTTTCTTGATTGTTTTAGTATTTTGGCTTGAAAATATGAAATTTTTTGGAAAAATCGGATGCACGAGGGTTATTGGTGTTGGAGCAGTGCGAGTCGACAGCCCAATGGCAATTCCAAGGGTTTGGTTGAGCTTGCTCGTGCGACATTGTGGTGTGAAAGGTGTGTGACCTGGTAATATGTCACGATTTCCTTTTTATTTTTCTGGTTTTTCATGATATGCAGTGTCTATTTCCGTTTTCTGGTTTCTGGTTTTTCACACTTTAAGTGTGATTAGAGTTATTTAATTGCTGGAAAATTGCTTCGATAGCTGCTGCTTTTGTCCGGGCCTAAAGCGACTGCTTCCGGGCTTTGTTGTTGCTGTTTGGACCTTGCTAGAGTGCTGCCTGGGACTGATTGGGGTCAGCCCGGGACTAATCGGGAGCTGTTTGGGTTCTGTGGGGATGCGCGCTAACTCCGAAGAGTGTCGCCGCTTCAAACGGGGCTTCGACGGGCGGATACCCAACAATCTTTTTCCTAAATAAATGTGAGGGGATCCCATGAGAGATTGAGAAAACTTCACAATTTAAATTTGTCCTCTATTGTTATTAAAGGTAATAAGCCTTATTTAGTTCTGTGTTTTTTTTCTTTCCACTAGTTATGGATAGGGGTGTGATTATGCTGTATACATTATTTTTTCATGTAGGATTAGTTATCACCTACCAGGTTCTGGGTAGTTTAAGATGAAGTTATGTAACAATTTAACTTTTTTTTTTTGGTTTCTCTTCTTGTGGATAGTTTGTGAGAAAGTGGAAAGAAACATGTTTCTTGCTCACGAAACGGGTTTCTTGTTTAAAAGAAATAGGTTTCTTGAGCAACAAACTAGTTTCTTGGAAAGAAACATGTTTCTTGCTCAAGAAACGGGTTTCTTACCAAGAAATATGTTTCTTGAGCGAGAAACTGGTTTCTTGAGCAACAATATTTTCTTCAACTTTTTTAGTACAAATATTTTCTTTAACTTTTTTTTCTTCAGATGTGTTTGGACAAAAATATATGAATACAAGACACATTTTCTTGTTCAATAAACATGTTTCCTGAGCAACAAAAACGAGTTTTTTGAGCAAGAAACGGGTTTCTTGTTAAAAAAAAATAGGATTCTTGAGCAACAAACGGGTTTCTTGGAAAGAAACATGTTTCTTGCTCACGAAACGGGTTTTCTTGAGCAAGAAACGGGTTTCTTGTTTAAAAGAAATAAGTTTCTTGAGCACCAAACTAGTTTCTTGGAAAGAAACATGTTTTTTGCTCAAGAAACGGGTTTCTTACCAAGAAACAGGTTTCTTGAGCAAGAAACTGGTTTCTTGAGCAAAAAACGGGTTTCTTGTCAAGAAACCAGTTTCTTGTCAAGAAACTTGTTTCTTGCCAAGAAACCCGTTTTTTGAGCAAGAAACATGTTTCTTGACCAACAAATGTTCAAGAAACTGTTTATTGAACAAGAAAATGTGTCGCCATCCGCCAAATAAACCAATGGGCTAAGGAAATCTCACCGGAGGGCCAACGGGTTTCTTGAGCAACAAACGAGTTTCTTGGTAAGAAACCAGTTTCTTGAGCAAGAAACGGGTTTCTTGGCAAGAAATGGGTTTCTTGAGCAAATAATAGGTTTCTTGCTCTAGAAACGGGTTTCTTACCAAGAAACAGGTTTCTTCCTCAAGAAACTTGTTTCTTTTCAAAGAAACCCGTTTGTTGCTCAAGAAACCCGTTTTTTCTCAAGAAACCTGTTTCTTGCCAAGAAACCCGTTTCTTGAGCAATAAATTGAGCAAGAAACCTTTTCTTGCTCAAGAAACTTGTTTATTGACCAACAAATGTTCAAGATATTGTTTATTTTTCAACAAACGATTAATTCAGTGAAAATAATTTATTTTTGTTCACTTTGTTCTATAAAGTGTTGTTGTGTCCATTTTTTTAATGATTTAAAAGAAAACTTTCTGGAACGAAGGATTGTTCCAAAAATCATTTCTGGAATATAAGAAAACATTCCCGAATTTGAGAAAATATAATTTCTGGGAAGGTCCTCTCACATAATTCCCGGCTCCGTAATTTTTGGGAATTATGTAATCTCAATGGAGCGGTCCTTATATTATCGATAAAATGTTATCTCCGGGAGCTATCCGACTTTGCAATCACGAAAATGGCGATCCATTTGTAGTAAACAGACTTCAATCAGTTTATTTTGACTCTTTTAAAGATGCCCGTGATTTTTGTCGTTGTCGTGACCGATGCCAAAGAGCCCGGTCCGACATGAAGGTCCTCCTCTATAATTCTCGACTCTGTTTTTTTTTTTGGGAAAACTCAAATCTCGATGGAGTGTTCGTTATGTTGTCGATGTGGTGTTCCCGAGTTCCCTGCACTAAACCGAGCATTCTTGTACTGTTGTAAAAAAATAAATTAAACAGACCGTAAAAATAATAAATATGAGTTCAACAAACGATTAATTCAGCTCCTAAACTCAGCTCCTAAACTCCAAAAAAAAAAAAAAAATGGCTCAAGTAACAATACAACAAAAGTCATGAACTCCAAAACACAACCTTTTTTTTAAGCACAAAAACTCCATTTTTTAACTCTAAAAAAATATGAGTTCAACAAAATAAAATGGTACCTAGACAAATCAATAATTTTGGGAACAAAAATAATAATATAATAAAGAAAAAATTAGTAGCCTCATTTTTTATTGATCCAAAACTCTCAACATTAGTTGCAGTTACTCTTTTGAAGTTCAATATAAACTGGATTCAACTATGAAAGACTAGTGTTTGATACATCATGCATCAATCCAAAGTTGAATGACCAAAGAACATATCCCTTAGGCAGCAATTCGGTACAAGAATTTCACGTTCGCAGCCTTTGCTTTGCCCCGAATTGCTCGTTTTGGTCCCATTATGAAGTTGAAACTCGTTTAGGAATTTCGTCGAACACGTTACGGGCCGAACTTTGGCCTTGAGATCTATTCCCGATAAGTACGTGTAGCACAAACCTTGGATCTATTTCCTTCAAAGGCACAAATTCACAAACTAATTAAACTTGAAATAAAAACATTTACAAGCTAATTCACAAATTCACAAGTCTAAATGCTTTAGACTAAGGGAACACAGAAAAGAGCACACAGTTCTCCAATTTCAAAATCCATTTATGAGATAAAGATAATCTCCAACAATCACAAGCAAGCAATCAAAGTCCAATATACAATTTAGTTCAAGAATCAGTCTAAATCTATCACACACAGGACATAAACAAAACAAAAAGAGAAAAAAATTAAAGATACAGTCTCGTGTTCTTATGCATACAAACCTAAAAGAGACGAGAGAATTTTCCAGGAGGATGCGAGATTTGAGGATGATGAGATTTTTTTTTTTTTCAGTCATGAGAAACGTGGAGATGGAGAGAGAAGAACGGAGATGAATGGGGACGATGGGCAGCAAACAATTTTAAATCTTTTTCCCTTTTTTTAGTTAAAACATTAATAAGGGCATAATTGTATTTTTATATCCTAAAATGGCTATATTTCATTCTTTTAAAAAAAATAGTTATATTTCATTTTTTCCTTAAAAAAAGTGCTATAAAACCTGGCCTCTGTACAATATATCCGATCAAAATGAGTTTTTGTTTTTCATCTCAACAGTAATTATTTAAAAAATGAAATCTAGTTGTCAACTTGTAACTGAAAACTGCTCTGTATTTCCGTACCAAAGGATCTTACTAATGTTTGTATTTCCGTACCAAAGGATTTTACACATGCGACATGACTGTAAAATGTTTATTCAAGTGTGAGAATATTTGGATCAGTTTTGCTATGGAGCCATCAGATGGCTCGGTTTATGGAGCAATCCATACTTAATCACCAATAGTGTATTGACACGTGTCCTACAATAAATACAATTTAGACAGGTGTCATTATATTAAGTGATGGATGGCTCCATAAGAAAACAATCTGATGGCTCCATAGAATTTTTGATGTTTGGATAGAAGATGTTTAAAAAACTAAATCAATCATTTTTAATCAATTATTTTTTTTTTAATTCAAATCTAATTCCACGTTAACTCAATTACACAGTATCAATAATATCAATATAATTAAATAATAACGATCATATGATTCTTACATAGTACATCAATTTTGATTCACTATTTATTCATTCACATAATTTGAATTACTCATCAATTCACATCATCTCTTTCCTAGTTTTACATCAAATCAATTTTAATTATTTTTAATATAAACACAAAATTTCTATAACAATAAATCACACCATCTTTTTCAAAATTAACCATGCTAATAAAATAATATTAAATAGACAACAAATCTTATATCCAAGCATTCCTTATGACCCCGCCCCATGAAATTAACATTTTTCAGTACCCCAAGGTGT